GAGTACAGAGTTAGTTCTGTTCAGCAAACAGATTTGTGTTTGTGTGATAAAGGGACAGAACTTCGAGTGTGAACTGAGGCGTGGGGAGCAGGTGAGGAAACCCCAGGGACCAGGAGAGGAGGGAGGGAAGCCCTGACTTCCTGGGACTCAGGGCTCTGTGCTGCCTCTGCTTTTGACTTCGCTTCAAACAAAACTTCGAGGGGCTGCTCGTGCATGGCGGACGGGGACCATGACGGGGTGGGGGGGAAAAGTGAGCATCTCCCTCTCCTTGCCTCACCTGTCCATACCTCTCTGTCCCTTCCAGAGAACCTTCAAGGGCAGGCGACCATTGCCGACCCCGTTTCCTATTTTCAGGGGACTTTTCACCTTCCCTGTGTTGCCGTGCACCTTCTGCGGCGTCCTGGAGGCTCGTCACGCAGGAGAGGCTGATCGGTCTGCCAGGCGCCTTCGTGTTCACCCTCGGAAACAAGGCTTTGAAATCGCTGGCCGTGAAGCCTCAGGCTTGGCCAAGCCCACCCCTCAGCCAGCCCCCAGTTTACATGAGCTCGTCACCCCGAAGCTCCCAAGGGGTGGGGGCCACGTGGAGAGGGAGCCCGTTGTCCGGGTAGGGAGGACCCCGAGCCCAGCACAGTCTGGGGCCGCGTCTCTCCCTCCTTTTCAAGGCCCTGCGTGGACAGCGGCTGGCAGTGAGTGGCTGGGGTCGGAATGGGAAGGGCTGAATGTGAGCCCACAGGGCAGCAGAGAGTGCGAGTGAGCTGAGACCACTGAAGTCCATTCCGAAGGGACTCGTTTCTGGAAGACTTCCGACAGAGTCGGAGCTCTAGCTTGGAGCGTCTCACCTCCCCTGTGTCGGGAACTCGGCCGGGATCACCTTGACTCGGTTTCCCACAAAACGTCGGGAGTGCCTCATGCTACGGGCCCGAGCGCAGGGTGCGGCTCTCCGCTGTCAGGGCGGTGTGGAGGTGGCTGAGAGAGGCGTTGAGAGTATTTTCCAGGAGTGGCTGGGAAGACTCTGGCTGGCCTTGCTCACCTAGGTGCACCCCTAATCGGGGAGGGGCCGGGAGTTAGGGGTTCTCCTCACGTCCACGCACAGCACAGCAGGCGAGCTCCCGTGTGCTCTGTGTGTGCGGAGGGAAGGAAGGAAGGCCCCCGACCCCCGGACCTTGTCTGGAATTGCCTGCAAAGAGGATCATGGAGTCGTCCATCCTCACCTATCCTCTGGAGAGTCATAGGCACAGTTGCGGCACCCATCGCAGACAGCTGTATTCTGCATATTCATCGACCCATAGATATTTGATTAAAAGAAAGGAAGCAGACTTGCCTTCTGGATACGATTAAAGCCAGTAGATATGAAGATTCTGCAGCTGGGCAGGAAAATGAGGAAATACGTTGAAAAGAACACACATGGCTTGTGTGAATGGACTGAAACTCAAAGAGACCAGATCTCAGGTCACATATCACCTCTTCCAGGAAGCGCTCCCTGACCTCCCCAGGGCCGACTGAGGTCTTGCTCCTGTGAGCTGTCCTCAAGCCCTGCACCGAAGGTGATATCCCCCGGGCTGTGCCTCGTGTGTTGTCTCTGTCCTTGGACAGACTAGCAGAAAGAGGGCCTCGAGGGCAGACCAAGCCTACCCTACAGTGGGTGTGCAGTCAATATCTGTTGTCACAGAACACAGGCCCAATACAAGCTGACTGCTCTGTGGGGGCGAGGGTGAGCAGAGGCCTTCGAGTCAGGAAACTGAGGGCTTTATGTTTTCCCCACAAAGAAGGTGGGTTCCCCCAAGGCCCCCGGACTAATTCCAGGCTTCCTGTGCTCGCTCGCCTTATCTCGATGGAGACAGTCATTTGTTTCACATCTTTCATAGGAGCTGAGGCCGCTGCAGCCGGTGGAGGAGAACTGTGCGGGGGTGGGGACGTGTGATTACAATCCATTAAGGCTAAGCTGTGATTTCTAAAGCTCTTTTCATTTGTGACAGGAGCCAAACACCCCTACCCCAATTTCCTCCCCCTGGAAGAAGCAGCATGCTACTCTTAGGAAAATGATTTTTTTTTTTAATTACGTTATTTTAAGGAGAAGCATAACTGAAAATGTGTATTGAGCAAAACAGAACACTCCGGCTGGCACACGAAAAAAGAGGACTTTCGAAAAAGACAAGCGAGACTCCACGTGGGAGCCTAATGTTTCCACCGTTTCCAGCCTGGTTTCCCAGCTGCACTGGCTCTTTCTCGGCCATTTCAAGAGCAGCCCAGCTCCTGAGCCCTGGCTTACCTGCCCCCTCCCCCACCTCTACATGATCGCAGTGCCGGTCCCCAGGGGACACAGCTTGTTCCTGTTGGTCCCCTTGGGCTGGCGCTGTGCTCAGAGCCTCCCAGTGGCCAGTGCCCCAAGAGCCAGTCACACTGCCTCCTCCCTGCTGGTCCCTCCGACGTCCGGAGATGGCTCTAGTTTGTCATCAGACCACGAGGGAGAAGCGGGCCTTCTGTCGCCCTGTTTTCTACTTCACTTGTACCTGGGTGGTCCACCCTTGCCTTCTGTCTTGGCTAATTCCCTGAGGGTGCTTACTGTCAAGAAGAATATCGTCTGTGTGTTTGTAGGAGGACAAACTTTTTTTTTAAGGCACCAGCACTCTTATGTTAATAAACAGACAAGCCTTCCTTGTCCAACAAGCCTTCCTCTCCTCCCAAATGTGGCCAACATTCTGATGACCACCAGGCATGTGTGGGTGCTAAGTCTCTTTAGTTGTGTCTGACTCTTTGCGACCCCATGGACTGTAACCCACCAGGCTCCTCTGTCCGTAAGATTCTCCAGGCAAGAATACTGGAGTGGGTTGCCCTGCCCTCCTCCAGGGGATCTTCCCGACCCGGTGATTGAACCCGCATCTCTTATGTCTCCTGCATTGGCAGGCGGGTTCTTTACCACTAGTGCCCCCTGGGAAGCCTGAACACCAGGCAGAGTCCCCTGCCGCCAGTGTCAGTTGCTGTTTGGCAACAACTTTGTAGGAGAAGGTGCCAGGGGTGCAGAAGAGCCTCAGGCAAGTTGATTAATCCTCATCTGTGAGGTGAGGGCAGCCCTGCCCTAGGAAGTGCCGGGATCATGAGAGCCCGGATGTTTCCTCTCCACGGGGCCTGTGGACGAGCCACCACGTCTTCACGGGGCAGATGTCTGATGGGCAGACTTAAGACAGCCTCCAAGAGAACCTCCACGTCTCCACCAAGAACTGTGCGTGTTCCCCGCCTGCAGGAAAGGCATCAGTGTCTGCCCCCGTCACCTCCCTGGTGACCCCTGCACCGGGGGCTCCGCCCCCACACGCTGTCTCCACACACACACACACACACACACACCCCTGCACTGGATGAGATGCCCCCCCCCATCTAGGGATGCAGGTGCCCCGTGACCCAGCCCCACCCTCAGCAGCCTGTCCACACACACACACACACACACTCTCTCTCTCTCTCTCTCTCTCTCTCTCTCTCCCTCTGGGCCACTCTGCGCGGGACGGTGGAGTTGGTCGCGGCTCTCCGTCACTTCTCTCGTGGGAATCTCTTCCCTGAGCAGTCACTCCCAGGTCACGCATCCTGTCACCCTGTTTGATTCTCTGAGTCGCAGCCGTCAGGGTCACTGCATTGCACGCTCCCCACCCGCTGGACTCTGCTGGCTGCTGCCTCTCTGGCATCCAGGGTCATCCCCAGTGGGTGACAGGCACCATCCTTTCTTTGCCAGCAGATTCAACAAATAGAAGCTGCTGCTTTTACTCTTCACATTGGAGTGTTCGCATGAACTAAGATGTATATGTGCTAGTTAAGATAGAGTCAGAATGGACGGGGGGACTTGACAGCCTGCCCAGACCATGCTGGCCTCTTAGTAGGCACTCGGGGAACACGTCCTGTGTGTGGAGAGGAGGAATGAACCTGAACTGTCTTCTCAGGAGTGGCTGCAGCCCCCTCGGGAGATGAGGCCCCAGTGCAGCGGGGGAACCAGGGTGAAAATCAGACAGGCTCCTGCCAAGTTCCTCCTTCACCTCTTGTTAGAATACTTAGCGTCATCTGATTTGTTTGCTTCATGAGGATTATGTGTTATTTTAGTCGCAAGTGTCCAACTTTTGTGACTCTGTGTGCTGTAGTCCACCAGGCACTTCTGTCCATGGGATTTCCCAGTAAAGAATCCTGGAGTGGGTTGCCATTTCCTTCTCCAAGAGATCTTCCCAACCCAGGGATTGAACCCAGGTCTCCCACATTGCAGACAGATTCTGAGCCACCTGAGAGCCATCATGAGTATTATAAAATCTGCCTAAAGTCCTGCAGTCACATTAAGTCAGGTGACAGTGTCTGTTAGTAGGAGGTGCTCAGTAACTGGTAGCCTTCACCCCAGGGTGTTTTAGGGAAGACCCAGCTCCAGAGAAGAGATGCTCAGGTGTTCACCTGTCCTAAAAAACTGCAGATGACAGGCAGGTGACTGCCCGGCGATGAGGACCGTGTACCCCTGCGCCCCGTCTGTGGTGCCCACCCCCGCATCTCCCAGGCTGCCTCGGGCACTCCGGTTCTGTTGGTGGTGCCCAGTAGGGGGCTTCCAGCTCTCACCCAAGCCCCTCACTCGCAAGCCAGCTGGCGGAAGGAGAGAGAAAAGCGCAGCACAGCGTTCTCACCGGGACAGTGCTGCCCTTGAACATGTCCTTCCTTGTCGTGGTGTGGGCACGTGGTGGGGGGGGGGGGTGCGGGCAGGAGCCGCAGGTGCTCAGCCCCGTGGGAACCCAGGTGCCCAGCCTCCCGCCCCAGCGGTGAGGACGTGGGATGCAGGAGAGGATTCAGCGCCCCAGCCCGTCTCCTCCATCTCCATCTCGGCCGCTGAGCAGAGGACCTGGGTGAGGCTGGGGATGCGGTGGGAGGGGGCGCAGCGCTCAGGCTGGGCCTCCGCCGTCGGGGGTGCGGAAGGGATGCCTGTGTAAACCTCTGACGACAGCCTGTCTTGCTTCCCCGTCTCCCCCGCCTACCCCTCCATGCAGGGGCCTGTCTTCTGGGAGGAATCCTCTACTCCTGGCAGTTCCCTCACTTCAACGCGCTGAGCTGGGGCCTCCGTGAGGACTACTCCCGGGGCGGCTACTGCATGATGTCCGTCACCCACCCGGCCCTGTGCCGGCGCGTCGCCCTGCGCCACTGCCTGGCATTGCTCGGCATGTGCGCCGCCGCGCCCGCCCTGGACGTCACCACTTGGACCTTCCCGGTCATCGCCCTGCCCATCAACCTGTACATCTCCTACCTCGGCTTCCGGTTCTACCGGGACGCGGACCGGAAGAGCTCCCGGAAGCTGTTCTTCTGCAGCCTCTGGCACCTGCCGCTGCTCCTACTGCTGATGCTCACCTGCAAGCGACGGGTCGGGGAGGAGGGCGCGGGGGCGCCGCGGAGCTGACGGCCGCCCACTCTGGGAAAATAAGAAGACTTCCAGGGAGACGCGCAGGGTTTTCGTTTTTTTTTTTTTTTCCACTCTGCTGTTAGGCGACAAATATTTTGGTTATTCCAAAGCACCAGGAGCAAAATAGCTGCGTCTGAAACGAGGCTGTAAAATAATTGGGTGCTCAGTGACCACTGGACAACTTTTTCATGGTGATATGAATGAGAATCCTATGAGAATCGGGGTGGCTCGGTAGATTGACATAAGAAGAGGATGGGGTCTTGTTCGCCTGTTTTCCTTTGAGGGCTGTTACAGAGGCCTTCCTCCGACCACCACTTGGTTCGTCTTCTCCCTCAGGTCGAAGTGCAGATTCACCTTGCTTCTCGGAGCTCCCCACCTGCCGGCTGGGGAGGCCAGACGAGGTACTCACTCGCACGCTGGTATCTGTGGTTCCGTGGCCTCTGGTCCCTCACAGGCTGCGTCAGTAAATGCAGCTGCCGGCCGCAGCCGCCTGCTGTGAATGAGCCGGGCCCAGTTCCCTCTGCCCCACACGTTCTCAGCCTCATGCCCCCTCAAATGCTAATAGAACGCCAAGTACTGGCTGCTGCCCACCTTCTCAGGGAGGATTCAAACGGTTGCCTGGGAATCTCAGACTGGCCCTTGTCCCCATCCTGTTAGGTAGCAGCATTTCAGAAACTCCAGGGAACCGAGGGCATCTTTGACATCCACTGTACCACACAGGTGGTGTCAGAGCGGTTCTTTCTAGAAGGGGCATTCTAGACTTAAAGCCAGAAGCCCCTCCAACTCGGATCCACCTCTCCTTCAACCACTGCTGCAGGCATGAGCTGGGCCAGCCAGCCGTCATAGCTTTCCTTGTTCCTTCGGTGAAAAACACATTTCCACCCTGCTGTCTTCAGGACTCAGAAATTAGCCTCCACATAGCCAGCGGCTTGGAGAGCCAGAAGCAAGAGCCAGACCTCTGGTGGGGATGCTTCTGCGCCCCCCCCCAAGGGGTGCACAGGTCCCCGCAGGCAGGGGTGGCCTCTGACACCAGCGGTTCCCCCAGCCCCCCAAGTCTGCCTCATTATCCAGTTACGAGACGTCCCATTTGCCCTAAGGCCTTGAAGCTTAACAGGATGTTTTAGTTACCTTGTCTCCGGGGCACTGCTGCCCTGGGAGGAATTTATTTGGGACTTTAAGCCACATTCAAACAACCCTGGCAACATGTCCCTTCTCTGAAAACTGCCCAAAGTGATTGGAGGTAGCATCTGATTTTCGACTGCACTTACTTGGCTGTGTTCAGGTCGCGCTGCGAGAACTGACAAAGTCGTGTCTGGCTGGCGGTCCCCAGCCCGCAGATCTGTAAGGCGCGTGGGTTCTCTCTGCTGCAATAAACCTGCACCGTGAGCCGCAGTGTGTGTGGCGTCATTCCACTCCGTCTGCGGCTCCTGGCAGAATGGGTGACACTTGCCTGGCTGTCACTCGCGGCTATGGGACCGGCAGGCGCAGGGGTGGAAAGGAGCAGCCGGCGTACCTGAGGGGAGCCTCTGCCACCCACTCTCTGCTCAGAGTCACCCAGTCTCCCTTCCATCACCCTGGAAGTGGGCCTGGGGGCCTCCCTGACCTCCTGACCTGTTGTTCTCCTGCTCTGAATATACAGTTCCCGCTGCATGGTCTGCACAACGAACAGGGCCCCTGCCCCTTGGCGCTCAGGCCCCAGGACGAGAGAGAACCTTCCGCATGAACCCCTCACCTCCCCGCCCTTGTCACTCTCACACCTCCCTAGGGCCAGCCTCCGAGGCCCACCTTCCCAAACCCTGTCCCCTGGTCCTCACAGGAATGTGGAATTCACACTCCCAAGAGCCCAGACCACTGCTCGCTCATCCAGGCCTCTGGACATCCTGGTGCTTCACCTGCAGAGCCGGGGTACTGGCCCTGACTGCTGACCGCCAGCTCTTGCCAGGCGGATGAAGCCCGGGCACCTGAGCATCCTCCCGGCAGGTCTCTGGGTAAACCTGCCGTCCATGCTGGGGCGGCACGACCACATGCAGAGGGTCTCCTGAGACTCAAGGCTAAAGACAGGAAGGTCTGAGTTTGCTCACCCTAGCGTTTTCCTGCCCATGTCGGGAGCCCAGCCTGGGATGCACGGTCTGGATGTGAGTGTCACTCAGCCATAAGGCCATCCGGCCCCCGGGCTGCAAGGGTAGAGGGGCCACGCAGGCAGGAGCAGGAGCCTGAGCTTCGACACAGGATTGCACTTGAACTTGGGTAATTTCATGATACAGCAAACTAATGACAAGGAAAAGGGTCGTTCCAATTCCCTATTTAGCTTTTTTAAAAACACGACTCAACACAATATTCCTTCTGACTCGGGAAATTGTACCAGCTTCCTTTGAGTAAAAACACTGTATCCATTATGAATGAAACCTAATTTTACCCAAGGTCCCTCTCGGTGGGCCCACAGTGAGGCTGCCTGTTCCCACAGTTGGTTTGTCTTTTCAAACAGAAAAATGGGATGCGTCTTGCCCAATACAAGTATCTTCACTGCACTTTAAATACATTTTGAGTGCCCCAGGCCCTGATGCTGGAGGAGAAATACAAGGCTGTTGGAGACTGCTTTGCTCTGAGGATCTATGGAGTTGAATTTCACTCTGACAGTTTATTTTTCTGTCAATCCATCCTCATCTGCTGTTTGTTTTGCTAAGAAAATAGCTTGGGACTCAGGGCTTCCCAGGTAGCACAGTGGTAAGAAATCTGCCTGTAATGCAGGAGAGATAAGAGATACAGGTTCCATCCCTGGGTTGGGAAAATCCCCTGGAGGTAGGAAATGTCAGCCCACTCCAATATTCTTCCCTGGGAAATCCCATGGACAGAGGAGCTGGTGGGCTCCATGGGGTCGCAAAGAGTCAGCCATAACTGAGCACGCACACACACCCAGCACTCCTGTGCCCCATGCAATGCCAGGACCTGAGCAGAGCTTGTTCTGCTTGCTGACTTCAGTGTGATGGGAGACTCACACCTCTGAGTTTAGTGAGAGCTGGAGACTCTGTCCTCTGACATCCACCCACCCCTTCTGGACACACTCAGTAGGATGCCCCATGCAATGCCAGGACCTGAGCAGAGCTTGTTCTGCTTGCTGACTTCAGTGTGATGGGAGACTCACACCTCTGAGTTTAGTGAGAGCTGGAGACTCTGTCCTCTGACATCCACCCACCCCTTCTGGACACACTCAGTAGGACCCTTGTAACTGCCCGCAGGAGGAACTCAGGGGAGAAAGAGTTTGGGGAAACGCCCACTTGACCTTTCTAACAACATGCTCAGAGCCCAAGAGAATGCACTTGACTTAAGAAGTAGGTCAGAGTGCTGCTGCCTTGGTGTTTTCTCTGCCATGATCGGCCAGTTAGTGATCCCCCACAATGCACCTCATCTGTCAAGGGCACACTTTCTCCATCCGTCTTGTAGGATCGATGGTGACAACCAACAGGCAGCTAAATGCAAAGCAAGTGGAAGACAAACAGGGTCCAGCAATTGCCTTCAGCTTTGCCACACATGCTTTTGGTCTTCTCCCATCAACTGTCAAACATTTTAAATAAGTTTATAAACTGCCTAGAGGAAAAGTTAAGTGGGAGCAGTATACTTTTGCTTCTTTTTTTTTTTTTTTTGGCCTCGCTCCTTGCAGGATCTTAGTTACCCAACCGGGGATCCAACACACGCCCCTTTGCAGTAGAAGTGCAAAGTCCTAACCACTGAACCATGAGGGAAGGCCCTACTTGCTTCTTTTTTGTTGAAAACCCACGCATAATTGACCTCATGCTGGACAGATTACAATTTCCAACCAATGTAAGAGGTAAAGAGGTGTTCTGGATCAAAGAACCTCCGACACTTGCTTCCTAGTTCAGGTTCCATTACTCTGTTGCTGGTCCCCACTGTGCACATTACAGGACACCTAGGAGGCCCAGCGTCCAGCCACAGCTTGAGCCCCCTGTAAACATTCTTCATGTCTGACCTCCCCTCACTTCCTCCTCTGCCCCCGTCATGACCTCCTAATTTCTCTCTCCCTTGTCCCCACCGCTGAGTCGTCCACGTAGCAGCCATTGTGATCCTGCCAAGGTTCCGGGCAGATCACAGCACAGCCCCTCTTCTCCATCCCCCGAGGGCTTCTCTCCACTCCATGAATAAAATGCAGAATCTCTACAGGGCCTGTGAGGCCCTCCATGATCTGGCCCTGCTCCCCACTCTGATCTTAGAACCATCTCCCCCACGCCCCCCACACCATCTTGCCCATTTCTCCACAATTCTCAAATGCCGGAAGCCTCTCGTTCCCTCTTCCTGGGCTCCTCTCCCACCCCTCCCTCTGGATCACCCCCTAGCCTCACTGAAATGGCTGTAAGACACTCTGTGTCCATCTCTATTTATCTCATGACTAGTTCATTATCTGTCTCTGTAGAGCATAATCCCTGTGGAGGCAGGGCCGTCATCTCCGCAGCACTTTCTCCAGTATCTCAAGTGATTCTCGACCCAGACTACATGCTCAGGAAATGCTTTCTTTGTTTTCTTGTTATAAGCACATTATTTGTTTTCTCTTAAATGTTTTATTTTGTATTGGGGTATAGCTGATTAACAATGTTGTGATAGTTTCAGGTGGATATCAAAAGGACTTAGCCATACATATGCATGTATCCATTCTCCCCCAAACTCCCCTCCCATCCAGGCTGCCACATAACATTAAGCAGAGTTCCCTGTGCTATATAGTAGGTCCCTGTTGGTTCTTTATTTTAAATATAGCAGAGTGTACATGTCCATCCCAAACCCCCTAACTATCCTTTCCCCCATCCTTCCCCGCTGCTGGCAACCATAAACTCATTCTCTAAGTCTGTGAGTCTCCTTCTGTTTGTAAGTTCATTTGTATAATTTCTTTTTCGATTCCACATATAAAGGATGTCATAATGATAGTTCTCCTTCTCTGTCCAACTTATTTCCCTCAGTATGATAATCTCTAGGTTCGTCCATGTTCCTGCAAACGGCATTATTTCATTGTCTTTAATGGCTGAGTAATATTCCATTATGTCTATGAACACTTCTTCTTTATTCAAGGAAGTGCTTTTTGAGTGAATAACCCCTTCTTGGCTACGAGAGTCCCCTGTAGTCAGTCTGTTAGCCCAGGATCAAGACAGAACTGACTTGGAAAGCCATTTAAAGCAGGTGGGAGAAGATGGCTTGTAAACCGCCCTCACCCCACTGCCGGGGCGGTCCCTGTTCCCACCCCCACCCCGCACGGGACAGTCTGGGGCTGCACTAACCAGAGGCCCTCCCGCGCCTCCAGGCCACCACCCACAGCGTCTCTCGTTTCTGGGATTTGCCTTCTCTAACTGCAGACCACCCCCCACCCAGCGCCATTCCTGCGGTGTCTCCTGGAGCGTCTGTCAGCATGTAGCCGGCAGGTGTCACTCACCCGTCCGCTCACGGTTTCCCCACCTGCCCTCCCCACGACCATCAGATCCCAAGCTCAGTGAGGAAAACCCGTCAGCTTCTCAGGGCTGGGTCCACCCGCACCTGGAATGGAAGGGACTCAGCAGTGACCACATGCTGGTGCCTCTTCAGTGAGCAAAGGAGCCAGCGGGTGGCTTCAGGGAAGGGGCCGGAGCTGGAGGAACACTTGTCTCTGTGCCACTGGGACCAACACGAGGTGGGGGCGTGGGGTACAGCCCTGCCCTGGGGTACAGTCCAGGGCAGATACAGCTCTCGCTGTTTCAGGAAGAAAATGGCCAGAGTCCAGCCAAGATGAGTCACTATCATTCCTTCCCTAAGTTACCCAGTCTTAAGTGCAGTATATGTTCACTCTTTCCTGTATCTGCAGGGCTGTCTTGGCCCAGCGACTTAGCAGCAAGGTGTTCTTAGTCAAGTTGGCTTCTTGGCCACAATTTCCCTCTCTGTTTGCTTTTTCAGACACATTCACAGAGAATCTAGTGTCTGGCTCCATCTTCTCCCTTCATCATCACCCACTTCCAGCAGGTGAGAGCCAACATGTGCATCCAGCTCAGCTTAAAGAAACGAGACCCCCAACCTGGCTCATGAGTTGGAGGTGCTGACTAGGAAGTGGAAAACGAAAGAAGGAGGACCCCAAGTGCAAGACAGCAGGTCGGCTAGACTGGGGGGTGAAGATGGTGCGTCAGGGTCTCGGCAGAAGCCTCAGCAGACGGCTGGCTCTACCCACGGCTCCTCTCTCTAAAGCCAAGTCCAGAACAGAGCCGCAGAGTCTGTTCAGGGCGGAGCTGGTGGGTGGGGGAAGCGGAGGTCGAGACAGGAAACTCTGAAGCGGGCAGAGAGGAGTGCCTGGCAGAGTAACCCCATCCCAAACATCTAAAGAAGGGCCAGGTGACAAGACAAACAATTCCCAGAGCATTAGCCAGGCGAACACAAACAAGCCCCCACCCCAGCTTCAACAAACAGACAAACACAAATCAAACAAAGCATCCTCGAGGGAAGAAGCCTGCCCTTCTCGTCCACTGAGCAAGTGACCACCCAGGTGCCATGAGCTGGGCCTGGTGTGGGACAAAGGGGCAAACCCAGCCTCAGCCCCGACCCCAGGAGCTTATGCTCTGGAGAGTTCTGGACCAAGAGGGGCTGGGGATTGTGGCAGAAGCAGGAAGTAGACAGACAGGCCATTCCTGCTTCTGCCCTGGAGTCCTCAGGTTCTAGGTTCTTTGGCCAAATAACTAATTGGCCATAAGGCAACTCTGCTAGAAAAATAAAAGAGGGACTTTAAAAAGGACACAATGAGAAATGAATAACAAAATTAGACTATTGCAAAATCAAAATACCTAAATACATTTAAAAGATCTGTAGGGAATTCCCTGGCAGCCCAGTGGTTAGTTTTTGGCATTTTCACAGCCCAGGGGCTTGGGTTCAATCCCTGGTTGGGGAACTAAGATTTTGAAAGCTGTGTGGCATGGCTAAAATTTTTAAAAATAAATAAAAAATTTTAAATTAAAAAAGTAAAAGATATATAGATTCATGGCAATACTGTGCAAATAACTTAATTTCCTTTGTGGACTGGACCTCAGTGCTAATCTTCCAAGTCTTTCATTCATAGTGTTAGCCTTTTTTTTTTCTTATCTTGTTTGTGGATTCATCTCATTTGGCATCATGCTGCTTATTTTTCACTAAAATTTCTCCTTGCAGTAAGAGACATGTCCGTTTCCAGACCTGAGTTTGCACCAAGCTCCGCCTCATGCTGTGAGCTCCTCTCCTGCTCGGTGCCCTGGACACGGGGTCAGGTGGCCTCTGTACAGACGTTCCAAGTCCTGCAGGAAACCAGGGTCCGGCCCCGCACCTTCAAGACCCTCAGCCTCTCTCCCCTCCAGTGCGGTGAGTGTCAAGATAAGAAACCAACTCAGGACAAAGTACTGTGATGCTTTGTGCTTTAGAAAAAAGGCTCAGGCCTTGGAGTGACAGGTAGTTGGGAGAATGGAGGAGGGGAGACCCCAAGGGGATCTGTGTAGAAGAGTGCGGGGCACAGAAAGAGGTCCACACCTTGGGAGGGGGCGGGGAGGGTGACTGCAGAGGGAAGATCCGGGCTGTTCCCAGGCCAGGGAGGCAGGGTGGTGCCACTCCCCAAGAGGGGGCCCCCCTTCCCCAGATCATGTCCTCTTCCTGTCTGTAGTCACTGTTGACTCAGACTGCTGGGCCTACCTTCTGTGGGAACCACCGCCCCCCACCTCACCCTGTCCTCCAGCCCCGATCCACATGTAATCCAGCCTCCCTGAAACAGTCCTTCCCTTGTGGCTTAGATGGTAAAGAATCTGCCTGCAATGCAGGAGACCCTGGTTCGACCCCTGGGTCAGGAAGACGCCTGGAGGAGAGCACAGCAACCCACTCCAGAATTCTTGCCTGGAGAATTCCATGGACAGAGGAGCCTGGTGGGCTACAGTCCATGGAGTCACAAAGAGTTGGACACAACTTAGCAACGAACACTCACTGATCCCCTAAGCATGATAGGATGGCCTAGGATCCTAAGCCTCTGCCCAAAAGTTTCCAGAGCAGGAATTACTTCCCCACACTCCTCCCTTCCCTCCTTCTCCCCACCTGCTGAGTCCCTGCAATCTGAAAGATCCAGTGACCTATCCACCCAGAGGACTTGAGCTCACTTTGCAAATGATGGAACTGTTTGCCATAAAACCTACCTAAATCAAGGCAGAGACTCATTCAGGCCTCTCAGACTGAATTTGGCATTTGTTCACATCCAGATGTAGATAATCTATACAGAACTGGGAGAAGAATTTACAGCTTATGTCATAGCAGAGTGTGTCCTCATTAGTTAACCTTTAACCTACCTTCCTGTACCAACTTAGATTCATAATTACCAGTGACAGGAAACTCGACTGAAACTGGCTTACGAGAAGTAATGTTTTGGCTCCTGTAATTGAAAGATCCAGAAACAGCTGACTTCAGGCACGGCTCGATCCAGGTGACAGAATGTTCTCTCCGCTTGTCGTTGGCCGCACTCATAGCAGACTCTCTCCCCTTAAGAAGCAGACACCCCCTGGACACTCATTCATTCCTTTATTCACAAGTATCTGTCTATTGCGTACCTTGGGCCAGGTGCTGGAGGCGCCACGGTGAACAAAGCAAACCTCCTTGCCTTCTGCCTGCCACACCTTGAGAAGAAACCAGAAGCTCTGGTAACTGTGCTCCCCTCTGCGGTGGGCTGCTGGGTGACTAGTGACAGCTTCTTGTTCAAGACTAGAGGGAAAGGGAGTCTTGACATTGAGATGCTGGCCCTGATTAGCCTGACTTAGGGTTTGGGCTTATTCCTGATCCCATCAGCCTGATTCACGTCCATCAGCCCATCATGAAGTTTTGAGGAACCTGCTAAGGGGTTGGGCAAAGGGGAATTGCTTTGCAGTTTGGTCCTCAGAGAAGCCTTGGGGTCCCAAAGATGAGGAAATGGACCCCAGGAGAAGCCCAGCAAAGGCAGTGCCCAGCGACTGCAGATCTTTAGATGCCCAGCACCATGAAGGCAAGCCTGATCATATACCACCTGTGGTCCCCAACTCATTGTAAGGAAAAACCTCATTATATACAGGCATGGGTGAAGGTCCGTTTATTCCAAGGCCATTAACAAGGTGAAAACCCAGGGCGTCTCACTACCTGCTCTTTACAGCAAGTCAGCCACACCCGCGGGACTTCCCAGGCCTGCATCCTCTTAAGAGAGGCGGAGCCATCCTTAAAGCTAAGTCAGTTCCCGTCAAGACTGTTTGCATCAGCACCTTTCAACTTCAGCTGCTTTCTTCTTCAAGTAAAGTGCTTCTTGGAAGACACTTCCACATTCTAAGGAAATTGTTTAGGGAACACTTTGGATGGAAAAGTCAGGAACGAGCCAGGAGGGTCCGTCTTCGAGCCGCTCTGACCCTGAGCTTCTGTAAGCATCAGGTTCCCCTGTGCTCAGCTCCTGCCCAGACACTCAGGACAGGAAAGCATCTGCTGAGAGCCCGGCTCCCCCACCCCGGGCTGTGGTCCCCTCCCTTGGAATTGTCCCCGCTCCCTCAGCTAGAAAAGGACACTGGGCATTCTCCGTGAAGCATTTTAATGCTAATTTATTGAGTACAAAAAGAGGAGCCCAACAGACATGATCCACTGGGTGGGATGCTGTGCGTTTGTTAGGCAGTATGAGAGGTTCCTTGGCAGGATATTAAATATTACCCTGGCTATTCACAAGCACTTCATATTTCAAGAAAGGAAGGGAGGCTAAGGCTGCATCCCATAAATCAGCCTTTCAAACAGGCAGAAAGAGGCAAACATTTGATAAATCTATGTCATCATGCTCGGAGATCAAAGGCGCTGACGTCTGCACTCACGCACCCGGAGCTCCGGCAGCAGCTCCAACACTGAGGCTGGACGGCTGGGGAGGGAGGGCTTAGCTGGTTCTGATCTGTGATCAGCCAGGACTTGGGAGAGGAGGAGGGCCTCCCGCTTCAGACTCTCAGTTGGGACCGTGGTCCCTCTGCTCCCCGAGCCCACTACCCTGTGGGATAAACGAGACCAGGGATAGACCCGCAGCCGCCAGCATCGACAAGGTGAAAACATATTGGCTGCTGGGCACAGCAGGAGGCCAGATGGCCAGCCCCCTCTAACGAGGGTCCCATCCAGCCCAGGGTTCCCTGGGTCTCAGGCTACACTCGCCCCACCCCACGCCGGGCCCCCATCCCCTCCCATCTAGCGCCTCCCCCACAGTCCGGTCCCTTTTCTTACTCTTGCATCCCTTTGCTTCCCCCCAGCTTCTATTTGACACAAAGGTACTATTGGGAGCCCCACGGAATGAATGGGTTCCAGAAGCTCTGACGCTGGCGCCCGTCTGGACAAAGGGACGGTACGTACAGACAGGTGGATGACTTCCTTCAAACACTGCAGCTTAGAATTGGTGGGAGATGCTGAGCCACTTGGCTGGGCTTCACCAAGACCCACAGGCCTGTGCCCACCGTCTGGTGTATCAACTATCACCCAAGATCTAGATTTAGAAGCTGGCCACTAGGATTGTCCCACCTCATTACTTGAAACCTAAAATGACCCCTTCAATGATTGTAATCCCCGATTCACAGATGAACAGTCTGGAAGCTTGACTTCAGCTCCAGGAGAGTTTTAAGGAAGCAGGAGGGACCCATGGCTCCTTGAAGTGCCCGCAGGTGTTCCTAAGCTGCTAGACTGTGAGCAGGCTCAGCAGACACAGACAGAAATCTTCTTCTTTCTTTGCAGGACACAGATGACAGCTCCCATGGATGCATTCTAGGTCTTAGAACGAAGCTCATCCTCAGCTCGACTGACGTGTGTATATGCTAAGTCACCCACTCATGTCCCACTCTTTGTGACCCCATGGACTGTAGCCTGCCAGGCTCCTCTTATCCAAGGTATTCTCCAGGCAAGAATATAGAGTGGGTAGCCATTCCCTTCTCCAAGGGATCTTCCAGAGCCAGGGAATGAACCCAGGAGATTTTTTTTTTTTTAATACCATTAGCGCCATATGGGAAGCTCCAGGTTTCTGGTTTCTCCACCTTTAGGCAATTCTTGAGGGTGTTTAGGGCTTGAAGGGTGAGGACTGGAAGGGGAATTCACTGTAGAGGAAGTGGGACCCTCTTCCTCTGGGTCTGGAGAGTAGGGTGAACTAGAGGGTAAAGAAGCAGATGGTGTGATGGTCAGCTTCACGTGTGTGTATGTGTGTTTAATTGAATTGAAGCACAGCTGCTTCACACTGTTGTCTGAGTTCTGGGTGTACAGCAAAGTGATTCAGTTATGCATATGTATTATTTTTCAGATTCTTTTCTCTTACAGACTATACAAGATATTGCATATAGCTCCTTGTGCTACAAAGGAGGTGCTTGTTTACCTGCGTTATAAGTAGTAGTGTATGTCTGTTAATCCCAAACTCCTACTTTATCCCCCCACCCCATGAGACCCCTGCCCCGTGTGGTGGTTAATTTTTTGTGTCAACTTGGCTGGGCTGCATGGGGCCAGATATCTGTCTGCTTAGAGGTCATTCTAGGTGTGTCTGTGCAGATGTTTCTGGATGAGATGGACATTTGGATCAGTGGACTGAGTTCAGCCGCTCACCCTCCCCAGTGCGGGGTGGTCCCCTCCAGCCCGTGGAAGGCTGGGAATAGGACACAGAGGTGGGGGGGGGGGGACAGTGGCCCTTGGCACCCTGTCCTTCACCTGGAGCATCCCCGGACTTTAGACCCTGTCATCCGCTGTCCTGCATCGACCAGCTCTGCAGGTCTTAGGACTTATTCTCCATAACTGTGGGAGACAATTCCTTACCAACCAGCCAATCCATCAGTCCTATTGGTTCTGCTCCTCCAGAGAACTTAGGCTAATCCAGGTGGGTTTTAGCAGAACAAACGTGTGAGGAGGATATCCTTGCCTGTCACTGACTCAAGCTTTCTCTTCCTCACTCATCTGCGCTTCTCTGATGTAGAGGAGGCTGCCAGTTTATTTTATTTTATTTTATTTAAATAATATTTATTTGGCTATGCTGGGTCTTAGTTGTGGCGTGTGGGAATCTAGCTCCCCGACCAGGGATCGAACCCTGACCCACTGCACTGGGAATTCGGAGTCTCAGCCACTGGACCACCAGGGAAGTCCCCATCCTGTTTACTAACCTTTGTCACCTCACTAAGAAGGGATCCTAGCAGTTTAGAAAGTTTCAGTGAGATGAGCAGGGCTGTAGACACAAGGTTGTAAAGAGTTTTAATAGAGTCTTTATCTAATTGTCAAGGACTTGGCAACTTCTGGGTTTCCTTTTAGGGGGCAGGTTTTATATCTTTATATCACACCTACATGTGACCAGAACTGCCCAGACGGAGGCTGCCGAGACTGAAAAATAAAACAAAAATATTTATATGTCAATTTTATAGACTCTTCCCAAAGCACCGTCTTTATTTATGGGTTATGGGCAGCCAGCTAGATTTAGGAAGACTGATGGTTACTCATAACACTTGGCACAGTGTCTTATGTCTAGAGCAGTAAGATTAATGTTTTTTGAGGCTCCCATAAGAGGTAACGCCATTGCCACCTAGAAAATGAACCCATGCCACTACAATTCTGCAATTTTGGAGGGTCCAAGCACCCCCCGGTCTCTAACACAGGGCATGCATGCATTTGTGCCCACTCATGTCTGACTCTTTGCGAGCCCATGGACTGTAGCCCACCAGGCTCCTCTGTCCATGCATTTCTCCAGGCAAGAATATTGGAATGGGTTGCCATTTCCTTCTCTAGGGGATCTTCCCAACCCAGGGATGGAACCTGCATCTCTAGTGCCTCTTGCATTGGCAAGAAGATATTTTCTCACTGAACCACCTGGGAAGCCCCCTAATACGTGGAGGTGGCTCTTAAGAGATTTTCCTTCACGCTTTTCAAGTGTCTTACTTATGCTGACACATGTTTCATCTCTGGCTGACGGCCTCGGAGATTTCCAAGACCATATATATCCATTCCATCCACACACTGATGGAGAAACCGCTGAACGTGAATCCTGGTCTGCCCCCTGGGCGCCGTGATGTCAGGGGTGTGTTCCCACCTCTCTGGGCTCCCATCTGTAAAGTGGGCACAATTCCTGCCATTTCAGAAGTTGCGGGAGGGGGAACCATGGAGTAAAGAATTCATATGCTTTGCTCTGTACTGGGCTGCCCCGTGGAACTGTTTGAGGAATGATTTCCCTGAATCACCCAGTTGTTCTGGCCTCAGGCAGACACTGCCAGTGGCTCTGAAGTAGAGTGAGATTGGAAACAGTACCGCAAAGCCTCCCTCCAAGTGTGGGCGCGTGTGTCTGCCCGGCAGGGTGTCTACCTGAGTCTCCTCCTCGTTTCC